AAACTCAACACCATTAAGTTAATTCGAACTGATAGCCTCCCTATAGGGTAGGGTAGAACTCCCCCTTTGGGTTTCTGAGACTGTAACTCTTTACAGTTGCCATTGTTGGATGGGAGGGAAGGCAAAAAGAAGAGCTGATACCAAGGACTCAAGCATAAAGAAAATGTTTTGAAAACGATGATGGTAACATATGTACAAATGTGTTTGATACAATCGATGTATGGATTGTTATAAGAGCTGTCAGAACCCCCAATAAAATTATTTATTAAGGGAAAAAAAAACAGTTGCCACTAATGTTTCTTGCCTATATAATTCAGAGCCATTAACAACTTTCAACTTGTGAAACCAGCACTATTATGCATTTCCAGATTTTCCCATCACCCTTAGCAGAAACTCATTGCCCGGTGAGCAATGATCTCCCCTGTTTTCTCCTCCCCAGTGACCCCTGAGAATCATTCATCAAGCTATTTTTTTATGTAACTGGGTCATATCATCTTAGAAGCCCTGGTGGCGTACAGGTTACTTATTGGGCAGCTCAAAACCACCAGTTTCTCTGTGAGATAAAGAAGGGGCTTTCTTCTCCCATAAAGCATTCTATTCCCTGAAAACCCACAGGGGCAGTTCTACCCTGTCCTAGAGCGTCCCTGAGGCGACATTGACTCGATGGCATTGAGGGAGGGTCCTACCACATTTATCCTTTTGTGTCAGACTTATTTCACTCAGCCTACTGGCTTCAGGGTTCTCCAGGCGTGGATCAGAACTTCCCTTCCCATTTGGCTGAGTCATGTTCGTTCCATTGTGTGGATCAACCACAATGTGCTTATCTCGTCATCTGTTGTTGGGCATTTACGTTGTTTTCACCTCTCGACTATTGTGCGTCGTGCTGCCGCGCAGATTCATGTTCCAGTAACGGCGCCCCTGTTTCTGGTTCTCTTGCGTATACTTAGGAGTCTAGCTTGGGTCGCTGTGCATCAGTATTAACTTGGTCACAGTGAGTTCAGTTTGAGGAGTAGAATTGCTGCATCGTATTGTGATTCTCAAGTCCTTGGCTGTCACAAGCAGCTAAGTAGTGGGCTGCTAATGAACAGAATAGACACCCAGCAGTCT